CACTCCCCTACTTTACCAGATTTTTTTGCTCAGATAAGATTTCCCATGTTACTTGACAGCACTGTAGTGGTGGTCTGTGTTCCTGCACATGATCCTACTGGATTTGCTAATCAGCTTTATTCACTTGAAATTATTAACCACATATGTGAATTGAAGTAGTTGGAGATAAACAGATTTCTTATATCCCTGCTGGATTTTAGTGAGCAAAACAGATTAATACAGAAAGTGTGTCCTCTTTCCCCTTTTGTCCACCCTACAAAAACACATGAGAAAAAGAAGGAAGTCCTCAGTGCTGCTGTTTACAGTACAAATCCACCTAAATGCACATTTCTCTTCCCAAAGTATAGAGGGATAGATTATTAGTTGGTGCAATTCTCACACACATCCAGGATTCTCCCATAGCATTCTGTGAGGAATGAAATGTTCATGTGGTTCATAAAACAGAGACTGGTTTTGAAGAGATGTAGTCACTAGTTGTTTGGCTGACCTGGGAGCTACAACCAGAGCAGGTTGGACTCCATTGTAATAAAAAATGAAGTGCATGTTTATGAATGTATACTTTGAGTTTGGACTGCAAATCTGCCAGCCCCATAATCACTCCCAAGTGTGGTACATGCACAGGATCCCACCACCCACAACAATGGCTCTCTTCATTTTTCAGTGGCAGAAGCCAACTGTTTGCCCTACATAACAACCTATGTGCCATTTTACTTGCCTAATGCATGTTTAGATCATATTAAAGGTGTTTTCTTAAATTAGTATTTCAAATCAGTTGCAGTCTGAGTGCAGGTAGCATAAATTGGAGCTTTACATTTGCTCTTTATTCTAATAAGTTAAGTTGCACCCCAGGGAAAGATGAATGAATTAGGTAGCAAGTAGGAAGACAAGTGAAGCTGTGTCTCTTGCTGGAGCTTATTGTTTTTTCAAACACGTTTACCCTTTGCACCCACTGTGGTATATAACAGTAGGGTTTCTTAGATGTTTGCCTGGGCAAAGCAACATTCTCCAATCACATTATCAAAGAAGTTGTTCAAGGGCATATTGTCATCATCACTGCCTGACAACTTCATATATTCATCTGAGTTAACTTCATCAAAACCTGTATTAATAAGCAAAGAGGGTGGCTGTTATGTTGTTCAGTTGTCTTTCAAGTTCTCTCTGTCTCTCTGACATACAACTTTCTTTCCTTTGCAGACAAGATTTCAAAAGCTGCAAGAGCAAGTAAGTTCTGCTTAGGGTTAACAACACTGCAAACTTCTTTGATTCTCAGGTGACATATAGTACATGTCAGTATTGTACAAAACACAACTTGGGTTATCAAAAATATTGTTATTTATTCTGTCAGGGACTGAGAAAGGATGAGTCATTTGCCCTTGAAAACTTCATAGGCCTATCGGGAAATGTAATACATTTTTAACCCTAAAATATAAATGTACTACTCCTGATGCTGCTGTTCTGTTATGGGATTTGAACAAGAAGTCAATTTTCAGAAGAGCAAAGGGTTTTGTTTTGTTGCCACTTGCACATGAGAAAAAATTCTAGACACTGTGGTTTCCATGTGGACCACACCAGACAGTCAATCAGGCTTTCCAATAAGATAAAGGTACAGACCCCTGGACAGTTAAGTGCAATCAGATTCGACTATGGGGTGCAGCACTCATCTCCGCTTTCAGGCCAAGGGAGCCAACATTTGTCTGCAGACAACTTTTTTGGATCATGTGGCTAGCATGACTAAACGGTTTCTGGTGCATGGAACACTGCAGTTGTTTCGACAGAATTCCTGAATTTTGCTGCTATGGTTGGTGGCGGTTTGCAGGTAGCTAAAACAGAAAAGGTAAGCCCACAGAAACAAATGCACACCCCTACCAAATGAAAGATGCAGGTAATTGAATGTTACAGTGACTGAATTGCCTTAAAGACATGAGTCTTCATCCCCATTATCCTGCAATATATTTTGGGTTTTTTCTTATAATTTGGCATACTAAATCCCTTATGCTAGTGGGTTAGAAAACTACAAATTTCCAACCCACTTTGATACCAGTGCTTAGGTTCAGGGCAATGCATATGTAAGACTTACAAACTGTAAGAAGAGATCTGACAGATGACAGCTTAATGATGCAATTCACAGGCCAGTGATGGCATTTTCATTCTTTTAAATGGATGGGGATTATTGTCACAGAGAGGTAATGAGTGTATCTGTGTGTATCTTTTTGCACTTTGCAAACCAGTACTGAATATAATCCTCTACTGGCTCTAAGACTAATTAGTTAACTTTGCATGTTGAAGAAATGATTAGACCTGGTTTTGTTTCTATTATGTTCTTATCTACCCCAAACATAGGTGATCTATTCAATACCCAACCTATGGCAGAGTAAAATGGAGGACAATAACACTCTTTAAAAACTGGGCGTGTATAAACACTGCACAACCAGGAATCATATTTTCAATTCCAAATAGGCGTTGAGATTAATGTTAGATTAAGGTCCTGCGCAAATATCTGAGGATATCTCTGTGTGGAGGGTGTGACAATCTTGTTTCTTTTTTGGACTTCAGCAAAATTTTATTGTAGGCCAGAATGGTAGTTATTGTTTCCTGATCATCTAAAAAAGGTACATCTTCCATGTTGTAGAAACCCTTTAAATATTGCCCACTGGCCTACTTGATTACAAATATGGCAGCCCCTTTACAATTAGTGAAGCAGGGGAGGGAGATGCCGGCCTCTTGCTGTGTGTGTGCGTGTGTGTGTGTTCCTCATGTAAAGAACAGCTTCCCCCCCCCAAAAAAAGTCCCTCCATCATAACACCCACAAAAGAGCCTAATGCTGTTTGCCTTTCATCAGAAGAACACAGAGAGAGTCTTATATAACCACACTCTGGTTAACCTCAGTTGTTGGCAGGGGAGGGGGGAGATTTCTGCAGCATTAGGCATCCATCCATGAACCCAAGCTAGGCAAAATACCTCCCAGCATAAAGTCATACGATACTGTGCTTCAATTACAAGCCATCAGTTTCTATTAGAGGTGCGTGTGGTTTCTCAAGGGTTTCTTTTAGTGCACAGTCCAGACAGAAAAGAGGATAATGGGGTTTCCTCAAAAATGGGTGGCTTTCCCCAACCCACTACCTAATAGGTTACATTTAGTATTTCTAGGGACTGCCATTTTTAAAAGGTGGGTGGATTGTCTTGGCACATTTTTGACCTTTCATTTTGTTATGTGTAAGGTAGAACTTGCTCATCATCTCCCCCAGCATCTTGAAATATGCCAACAGTGGCCTAGAGGTTGAGGGTTTTTTTCCTGCTGTAGTGCCAATGAACAATAAAGACTAGGGTGGTTGTAGAAGTATGTGTGGATCTAAAGAAAAACAAATAAATAAATGTAGCATCTAAACCAGCCTTCCCAGCTGGCTTCCCTCCAGATGTTTTGGACCTCCATCTTCCTTTAAAAAAAAGAAATCTGGTAAGAAACAAAGAATAGAATAAAATAACAAAACAAAAAGAAAAGAAAAGCTGTGTGAAAAGCTGTATCACAGCTGTTGCCACATAAAGTACATTCTCAAGGGATAATATTACACAATGAATTAGATGTTGCAACAAAAACTGACCTGATATAAAGAGAATACAAAGCAAATGTTATGATTAGCAAATAAAACCATATTTCACTGAGACCTGCCATCCCCATAATTAACCTGTCATGGTTGCCAAATGAAGACAAAATCAATAGATTTAGCTGCACCCCAAGATACCCTTACTTTATGAGTCAGGTTTTTTTCAGAAATAAGGATAAAACGTTAATTTATTAAACAAAATGTGTAAAGAAAATGTCAAGGACTCCTTCTAGCCCTGCAATATGGTCAAAGGAGCAGCATATGTTTTAGGGTCCGCATATTGGTTAGCAAGTAGAACTAGACCAAGGTTCATATCCCCACTCTCAACTTGTGATACCAGTTTACACAGTTGCGGCTTCCCTTAAAAAAACCTGGAAGTTGTAGTTTGTTAAGAGTGCTGAGAGTGGTTAGGTCTTAGCACCTTTTGACCTCTTGCCTGTATTTTGCCCGTATTGTCACCTTTGCTTGTCATATCTTCATCTTCCATGATCTGCTTCTTGACTACCAGTCCTGACTTCATGGTTTGTTTGTTTGTTTGTTTGCTTGCTTGGAGGCAGAGTTTCTGTTCCTCTTCATTCTCAGGGGCTCCTTGTGCTGATGAAACATTTGCCTTAGCACTATGTTGAATTTTCCATCCATAACGTTGATCCTGTCTTCAATTAACGTGTCAATACAAATGAATAATTATTTTGTTTTCTCACATTGTCTCTTAAGAAAAACTTGTCTGCATCACCATTTCTGCCAAACTACTTTGCTTTAATTAAAAATGTCTGCTGGGTGACCTGCTTCTGACACACATAACTCATTACATATTTTGCTCATGGTGGAATTGCCCAGAGATGCCTCTAATTAGCCAAAATAACAGTTTTTTATATTCAAGTCAAGATTCATGGCTTGATTTTATTTTTTTACAGTCTTTAAGCAACTTTGAAGAAGACCAGCATCAATAGTTTATGGCGTTTTCATAACAGAGCAGGGATTTAATTGGTTTAGTGAAGGTACAGGGCAGCTTCTTATGGTATGTTTTATGCTCAAGTACAGACGCCTCATTCTTACCTGGCTTCCTTTTGTGTGTAGGGAAAAGTGGCAATTATTCATCGTTGTGTCTTCAATAATTAGCCGAGTGAGAATGTGTGTCCCTGTGCATATGTGTCTTTAGGGAGGTTCATGTGACCCTCCACAAACACTGAAATAACACAAGGGGCATTGTGGGGCTGCAAAGGCTAGCCTTACCACAGGCTCACTCACATAAAGGTTTCCCCTTGTATGGAGAATCTTTTCTTGGGTGTATGTGCCCAAGTTCAAAATGCATCATGCAAGAAACATATGCATGGCACAAGGATTTAAGAAAAGAGGATAGCTTTCTTGGAAAACTTGACTGGTTGTGTTGATACACAGGGCCTGGATAGCTCAGTTGGTTAGAGCATGGTGCTGATAATGCCAAGGTTGCAGGTTCAATCCCTGTATGGGCCAGCTGCATTTTCCTGCATTGCAGGGGGTTGGACTAGATGATCCTCAGGGTCCCTTCCAATTCTATAATTCTATGATAAACAAGAGCAAGGGCATGTATAATACATGGTAACTGAACAGGATACACACACACATACAGGTAAGGGCTTATACTTTTAGCTGCAGGAACTAGGGACACTGTTACACTCCATTTAGCTTTGTTACTTCAGAAGATGATGGAAAGTCCAAATAATTATTATGCAAAAATATATATTTGCATATATATATTTGATAAGGAAGAGTTCCTCGTAAATACATAGTTTTGGGGTTGCACCGTTCACATACTGCCTTCCTTCTAGAGGCCTGATATTTTCAGACACTTATCAGCCCAATCCTGTCATCTGGATCTAGAATTGGGAACTGACTGTAAGACTCAAGAGAAGGTTAGCCATTCCGCTGCAGTGCCTGTATAATAATAATAATAATAATAATAATAATAATAATAATAATAATAAACAACCTTTACTGTCACTACATCACCTGTGTGCAGTGTATGGTCAGCACTTTGAGCCATACCTGGAAGCAAACTAGTAATCAATGCAAATGGTCAAGAACGTACTATATTTCTATTGCAATATCTGAATTCTATCTCCCAAACAGTGGTGATTTTATATTTTCCCCCTTTTCCATCATTGACCTAGAAACACAAAGATTGTTTTAAGTTTCTTTTTACTAAAGAACCTTGTATTTACTACTTTTTTATAGAGGAACACACTGATCTAAGTGCAACAAAGAAAGATAAATGTGAGTTTGTAACTGGAATGTTTTCTTACTGTATCTTATTTCTATTAATAAAATGAGAATGGTGTATGCGAGGTTCAATTTCAGTTTGATCTGAAAGATCATGTCATTTCTAGGTCATAATATTGGATTTGTTGTGTAGAGGTAAACAAGCATGGGGGAGATGAGATTGCAGGGGGGAGCGGTTAGCATTCACCTTGGTGCGATGGCACCAGGTCTAACTATGTTGAAGAAAGTCAATCCTGACAATATTATAGATTTATATGGGAGCTATCTGAGTATAATATATATCAGGTGTGGGGAACCTGTGGCCCTCCAGAGGTTGTTGATCCCCAGCCTGCATGGCGAATGGTCAGGAATGATGGGAGTTAGAGTCAAACAACAGTCAGTATAGATGTAAAGTAGGAATGTCAACCTACACTTTGGTAAACTTTGTGTTTCCTCAAATTACAGTGGTACCTCGGGTTAAGTACTTAATTTGTTCCGGAGGTCCGTACTTAACCTGAAACTGTTCTTAACCTGAAGCACCACTTTAGCTAATGGGGCCTCCTGCTGCTGCCGTGCCGCCGGAGCACAATTTCTGTTCTCATCCTGAAGCAAAGTTCTTAACCCGAAGCACTATTTCTGGGTTAGCAGAGTCTGTAACCTGAAGCGTATGTAATCTGAAGCGTATGTAACCCGAGGTACCACTGTAATGCCATTTTAATGTAATAGTGACCAAAATCAAATGTTAATGACCGTTCTTTTTCTTTTCTTTTCCTTCCCAGCTGCTGTCCGCTACTATCAGTGTGTCTTTGTAAATGGATACAACGGGCATAAATCCCAACACCCTGTTACTCCAGCTCCAGACTACAAAGGGAAGGCCGGACAGCCAAAGACTTCTGGGCCAAAGACCAAGGCACCAAAACAATAAGAGTCACGCAACCTGCGACATTATGACAATTTTGCACTTTGTGCCCTCTACAGAGGGCCACGTGAAATCCATTGGCACCTGTGATCATAGACATGTGATCCAATAGGTCACATGCACTTGGAAAGGTTGTCTGCTCATCTCCAGAGGAGCAGAGGCAAAAAGAGGGGAGATGTAACAGCATTTTAGAGAATCTCCAAGTACTCCTTTCCTGAAGGGAAGCATGGTGCTGAAATAGTACTTGACAAAAAGTAAAGTTGTGTGTGTGTGTGTGTGTGTGTAGGGGGATGTTCTTACAGATGTTTCCGTCTTGTGTTTTTCAAGTCTTGTTGGAACAAAAAGCATTTTCCAAGTATCTATTTACAACAAATGTCCCACTCAAAAATACTTAGGCACAGGAAGAATAATTTGTGACAGTATTCTCAATCTATGCCTGTGTTCATTTAAATGGATGAATGCCAAAGTTATTTGCTGAATCATAACTCTGTTTCAGGAGCTTTTCTTTGGTCCCTAAAGAATACACTGTATAGCAATCTGATGATCTCTTTGGAGGCATACAATGAAAACCTGCCATATATTTGTTTTTAAGTATCTGTAAAGATGAACTCAATTATTTCCCAGTTTTCTTTTAAAAAATGGAGGATATGCTGGGCTAGCAGAGATGAACTAAATGAAGGATAAAGGGTTTAGGGGATTTTAGACATGGACTTGGTGTTTTAATTTTTTTCATACGCATTATCCCCAAACTATTCCAAATCATATTCAGTATTAGCATACAATGTATAAATGGGAAAAACCAGTTAACTATTTGGCGCTGGAGAGATACAATGGGAAACTATGCTACTATGATTGAAGCAAATTATGTACTCAGCTATATATGTCTTATTTTGTGCAGTACTGTCCCAATTAGATAAAGTAAGATTATGCTCAGTTTTGCTGCATTTCCACAGATACTACACTCTTAATTACTTTTAGTTTGGAGACTTGAAATGAGCATCTAACTCCTAATCGATCTTCATTTTATGTTTTGAGACTGATTTCTTAGCATCAAAATGAAATGCACAATATTGGTCTAGATGAGGATGTTGGAATATCATTATTCCAATTGTCAGTCACAGTAAGTCTGTAAATAATAATGTGTCCTTGCAAACAAGTTGTTCCATATAGTCGTGTTTTGTCTATGTTGTTTTACACTTGTAGTTACAATGTCAAACCTCATGAATGTTTGTAGGATACTTCTTTAGACAAATCTACTTAACACATGTAAACTTTATTGTGTATACTATGTTTCCAGGAGGAAGATAACATTACCATAGAACTGGCATTTATTTTTATAGGAAGGTACAATTCTTCAGATTAACTGTGCCTTAAGAGACTTGACCAGTTCACGACAATGTTTGGACATCTCTTTTTTTCACCTCTAGGTCAAGCTAGAAGTGACTGGAATTCATAACAGTCCAATTACTGCCACTAGTGGAAGGGAGGAAGTCCACTATGTGTTGGACTGGTACCTGGTAATGCAATCCTACAGATGGCTTCTCAAAAGTAAGTCCCACTGAGTTCAGCAGGGCTTACTTCCAGGACACTGGGTATAAGATAGAAGCCTAAATCAAAAGAGACCTAAGTAATTTAACTACATGGTAAATTGTCCTAGTGAGAAGAATAGCTCATCGGAAGTACAGACTTGCAGGACTGCTTCCTTTGCTATAGACTTTTCCATGGATAAGTAAAATGAGTAAGGATAACAACTTTAACCAACAAAGTTGTTTTGGAAAACAACAACTCTAGTGCCTTTTCAGTGTATCTGCAAAAGGCACTTTTGATATCTCTCAATGCAACTGTATCTATAGATACAAAAGTGATTGACCTTTTTGATATCATGTCATGCTTGGTGAAATAATTCATACTTTATACCTCATAAGAAACATCAAGACTTTTAACAGTGCCTGATCAAGATGTGAAATTGCGGAGCTTGTGTCAGATTAATTTGTCACCAGACCACCTAGATCAGGAATGAACTATGCTAAACAATGAGTGCAGAGGTTTCAGACCCCAAATGCAGGATCTGGCCTTTTGTAGATGGATGGCATCTACCTCCAACCTTATGACACACAGAAACCTTAAGGTTCTGTCTTTTCTTTTTCTTAGCTTTGTCTATTGTGTAGTATAGATGAATTGGCTTTCCAAAGACCTGCCAGTTTAGCTTTCTTTAAGCCAAAGAATTAGCACAAGTTTTCCTGAGGATTTCATTTGTTGCTCATTATTGCGAGTTTCAGTTAAAACTTTTTTTAGCTTTTTAGTTTGGGCTTTTTGAAGATTTCACCTTCTCAGTGTTATTTAACTGTAGAAAGAACCATAGCGCATTTGAGAACCGATTTCCTTCTTTTTTCCCTTCCAATACCAGAAGGGCTTAGACCAGGAAATAAATAGCTAGCTTTATTCACAATGTCAAAGTGGTATGAATCAGACATTGGCCCTTGATCTCAGAAATATTAATTGCTTTGCTTTGCAGATGAGTTGAATGTTGCTTCATAAAGCCAATTAATCTGAAACCTTGATATACCATTACTTGAATTGCATGTTGTATCCAAAGAAACTTAACTTTGAAAGATGGGTATATTTGTTGCTAGGGATTTTGCAAAACAAAATGCATGTCTCCTAGTGGCTGTGGTACATTCTTATCAGTGTGAGAATTTGGGAGGGGGGCACCTAAAAGTAGCTTTGTTTATGTATAGCTCTAAACAAATTTCCTGTCCATGCTCATATTGCTATCACCAAGAATTAAATATAATAAGTCTCTTTCTACATGGATCATGTTCAATGTGTGTGTTGTTACAATTTCACTCAACATCTTTAGCCAAAATCCTTTACTCCTAAAAAATATATATGCTTTTGTGTGAGAGCAAAGACTACAAGAGATGTTGTCTAAGAACTATTCTTACCAGAATGCATCGAGACCTGGTGTTAAAAGACAAAATCTTCATCACAAAAATATAGGTCCCAGTGTTTTAAGATAAATATGTTATGGTTAAATTTCTGACAGGAGATAGGGATTAGAAGCATAAAGCTTTGTTAGACATCTTGTAGAGCATCCCTAGGTGGGTTCAGGAAGGAGTAACAGACATCACATATCAGGTCCTGCTAGCTAACAATGACTAGGATAGAAGCGGGTGGTAGATGTTTTTTCCTTACCTTTTCACTATGCCATGTGCTGGTGTACCTGAGGGATTCAAAAGATGTAGCCCTTTGGGGAGTCCATGGGGGACTGGATCCGGCAGATCCAAAGCTGCCCCATCCTTGAAAAACCCTGTTT